GCCCCGGCGAGATCCCGCGGTCGCAGCTCCAGCCCCACGCCCGCCGCCGTCCCCCCGTATCGCTCGGTGCGATGTGCTGGTAAACAAGGTCTGCTCTGCTCCCTCCCCGTCGTCGTTGCTTTGCCTCTCCTCTGACCGGGCCGCGGCCAGCGTCGGATGCCATGGGCAGCGGCGCGTCACGGCTGCTCACCGCGTGCGCGTGCTCGCGGCCGGCGCCGGCGTCCGTCGACGCCGAGCCCTGCCTGGACGACGCGCTCGGCCACTCCTTCTGCTACGCCTCCGCCGCCGCATACTCCTCCTCCTTCCGCCACGGCATCTCCGGCGCCGCGCTCTCCGCCAACTCCTCCGTGCCCGTGCCGCTCTACCTCTCCTCCTCCGCCGCCGGCGCGGGCTCCGTGCCGCAGAACTACTCCTCCGCGTTCCACACATCCTCCTCCTTCTCCTCCGCGCCGCTGCAGCTCTCCAACCTCTCCTCGGGGCCCCTCTTCCTCTCCGGGCCCATCGACCGCGGCGCCCAGCTCTCCGGCCCGCTCGACGCCGCCGTGCCCTTCTCCGGCCCGCTCCCCACCAAGCCCACCAAGCGCACCTCCTCCTCGTCCAGAGGGCTCTCCAGCAGGTTCCGGAAGCCATTATTCGGCAGCCTGCGGCGGAGCGTGTCCGAGAAGCACCAGCCGGCGCTCATGGTGCCACTCCGCCGAGACGACGGCGTGCAGTGGGCGCACGGGCGTGCAGGGGAGGACCGCGTCCACGTGGTTGTCTCCGAGGACCAGCGTTGGCTGTTCGTCGGCATTTACGACGGCTTCAACGGCCCTGAGGCCCCCGACTTCCTTGTTGCCAACCTCTACCGCTTCCTCCTACGCGAGCTTCGTGGGATATTCTACGAAGAGGCAGACAGGGATAGCAAGCGGCTGTGGCAGTTCCTCGCTGACGGCGACGACGATGACAATGAACTCGACTTTTCAGGTTCCGGCCGGTTTGCAATGTCGCTTGCCAGGCTCAAGGAGCGTCGGTTCAACATGTGGGCACATGCAGCGGCTGTGGGTGATGATGAAATCAACAGGGAGTGGGGTCCCAAGAAGTTGGAGGCAGCGCCAGCAGTGAGAGATCATGGAGCTGTGCTTGGTGCGCTCACTCGGGCGCTGGCCTCGACGGAGGCAGCATACCTCGACATGACTGACCAATCAATGGGATCCCACCCGGAGTTGGCGGTGACCGGGGCATGCCTGCTTGTGGCATTGGTGAGGGATGACGATGTGTATGTAATGAATCTTGGGGACAGCCGCGCCATTGTGGCGCAACGAGCAGATGATGACCATGGTTGCGGGCTTGGAGCCATGAGGATGGATGACATCGGCGTGGGATTGGAGATCGAGTCAAGGCCTGTCGGATATCCCATGATTGGGCTCGAGGCATTGCAGTTGTCTATCGATCATAGCACCAGCATCGAAGAGGTAACTTTGTGCTGACACTCCTCTGCATAAGCAAATCTGTTGACACAACTTAGAATGAGTTTGTAGCTTATATACATTTATGTTCTATTGACCTGCTGTTCCACTGTTTATTATGTGTACGCCAGAGCTTCTGTCATTGTCTGTGAGCAATCTGCTCGCGTCTCTAAATGCAAAATGTGCGTGCCTCTGTCAGCAGTAAGGCACTCTAAATGATCAAACCATCACATTATTGTTCTTTGCCGGGCTTGCATTCATATTTCGTAGAACTAACCATGGAAATCATTTTATTGCAAATACCTGAAAGCTTTAAAGTTGAAACACCAAGGCAAAAAAAAAGTTTCATGTCTTCATGAAAAGATCATGCAGAACACTTGTTATCCTTGATGCCTTATTTTCAGTTGGTCAGAGTCACATCCATTTGTTTCATCATTTGGTCATTTGCTGTTAGGTTCCGTTTCCATTACCCTTATTTGTCTTCTAAATTTGTCAATGAAAGCAGTTTGTCATTTTACCCCTTGCACTATTTATGCCTATGAATTCATATTATTTGTTATGATATGCAGGAAGTGCAGAGGATCAAACGTGAACATCCAGATGATGATCAGTGTATCGTAAATGACAGAGTAAAGGGCCGTTTAAAAGTTACCCGAGCATTTGGCGCTGGGTATCTCAAGCAGGTAATTGGGAGGTTGGGTGTTTACTAAGATCTAACCCTACTCTCATAGTTCATTTTTTTCCTGTTAGCAGTTTATTTGTTGGCTAAAAAACTTATTTTCGAATGAGTATGAATTTATTACCAGGAGTTAGTACTCCCTCTGTAAAGAAATATAAGAGTGTTTAGGTTACTATTTTAATGATCTAAATGTTCTTATATTTCTTTACAGAGGGAGTATTTTTAATTTTGAATTATTTAGAAACTACTTTTAGAAGCTCCGATTGGTCTAATGTAATAGAAAGCCTAGATAAAGCTTACCTAGAATTTGTGTATGTTGTACAGGCAAAGTTGAACAATGGATTGCTGGAGATGTTCCGCAATGAATACATAGGTGATGCACCATACATATCATGCATACCTTCTCTTTGCCATCACAAGCTCACTTCAAGGGACCAGTTTTTGGTACTTTCTTCGGATGGCTTATATCAGTACCTGAGCAACGAGGAGGTAGTTCTGCATGTTGAGAATTTCATGGAGAGATTTCCTGAAGGCGACCCAGCACAGAGTCTAATTGAGGAACTTCTTTCGCGTGCAGCAAAGAAAGCTGGTAAGCTTTATCTATCATGCCTGTCCTTCCATACCATGCCTTTTCATATTTCAGTTCTTGATTTGTTTGTATGTGACCATTCTTTGCTGTAATCAGCATTACACGTATACAGAAATGACATGGTCACGTGCAAATTCATATACACAAATGACATGCCCGTCGCCAAATTGACTGTCCCTGACATATTATTCCAAATAATAAAATGCTCTTAAGTTATCTTTACCAAATAGCAGTCAAAATTCCTAGCTAGGCTACCCAAATTTAGATTGTCTCTCTGAAGGACCTCACATCATTTTATCATTTTCTTCCAGCCGTATGCCATCTCACATTGATACAGTCATTAACATTCGGTCATTGGCTTATTGTTATGTGCCGATGCATTTCGTCATACATCTAAGCTGGTTTGAGTTATGTTGAATGTCAAATGTGTTTTGATCTGCTTTTGCCCCATTTCTTCTTTGGCTTTCCAGGTATGGATTTCTACGAGCTACTAGATATACCTCAAGGGGACCGGAGGAAATACCACGACGATGTCACCGTCATGGTTGTTTCCCTGGAAGGTAGAATATGGAAATCGTCTGGAACTTATGTGTGATGTTCAGCCGGAACAATGTCAGCATCAACATTTATGGTGCGGCCCCTGCAGCTGGTCAGCGCCTCCGAGCATGCTCATCAAGACAGAAACATCCCCACACTTGACAGCTGGGCAGGCAGATGATGTGCTCCATGCATTTCTGAAAGCTGTATTCTCCGATCGGAGACCGTGGCCGGTCCAGATCTCAGGTTCAGCACAAAACACAGCCCATGAGTCAGATTAACACCGCGGAGAAGAACCGAGAGGGAAAAGGGGGAGCAATCCCTGTCAGATTAGAGTTAGAATTCGCCTTGTCCCGCCACCCGCAGCGTTAATTGGTCACGGTACTCTGCCTGTGACAATTTTCCCCCACCTCGCTGTGGTGTTGTAGAAGGTTTTGCTTCTTTTTCTTCCCTTGCTGGGAGAGGGAGGAGACCTCTGGGACAGGCAATTTTTCTGGGTCATGTAGGGGGTGTCATGAGCCTGTACGGGGCTCGAACTGTTCTTCAGAAAGGAAAATGACCATTCGCTCCTCGTTTTGTGCTTTATGTTGTCTTCCTCGGCCCTGATTATTGGCAAATCCTATTCCCCGCACGCAAGCGAACGCCCACGCCCGCGCATAAGGCGGGTCATCCTGGGCCTGGCCCAAGAAGGTCGCGCGACGGTGGTGAGGCGGAGGACGAAAGGGGTGCGGCTCACCGCCGTCAGAGAGAGTGGGGTGAACGACGGGGCGGCGGTGAGGGCAGAGAAGGGTAGCGAGGCCGCGGTTGACGGGCGAGGGCGGTACGGCCGGTGCCGCGAGAAAACAGGAGGTCTCTTAAGGGCATGTACAATGGTTGATAAGACAGTCTTATCTTAAATTTTGCATGTAATTTAGAGATGATAAAAAAATATGTCTACAATGGGTTATATTTTCAATAACTAGCAATTCCTTAAAATATGGTGAGACAAATTGTGCTAAGAGATCATTTCTTGTCTTATCTTAAATAAGAGAAGACAAACTTTTTCTTATGAGTTCTCTCTCCTCCACCTCATCATTTATCCTATGTGACACTCATAAAATAGCATCATTGTACATGCCCTAATTTTGTTCCTGTATCCTGCGTGGCGATAAATGGGTCTTAACGGAGGCTTAAATCGAACTATTCGAGGCCCAGCTTTTCAAGATTCGGCCGGTGCTCTGCTTGGCCTGCTTCGAAGACAGTTGGGACCTGCGAAGATTACGGCATGGTGGAGATATTTGGGTTGCCAAAGTGTTATATTTTGTAGAACGAGCACCCCAATGTTTCCTGTCGTTTTCATTGAGGGAGGGTCAGTTACAAGCTATGAGTGCAAAGGCAGAATATCATATAAAAACCAACGTTCAGCGAAAACAGATGAAAACCACACGAAAAAGATGTTTTAAAGTTTCAAAAAAATCTAAAAAAGACGAGATGTTAAGAGAGTGATCTTCTATTGCCATGCAAAATTTCAAGTACAAACACATTACGGGATGTGAGCTATGAGAATAACAAAATCATCATTGAATATTGAATAGTGCTAACTTCATTATTCAGAGCTGAATTTGTTTTTTTTCATAGCTCACATTTCTTGATGCGTTTCGACTTGAAATTTTGCATGGCAATAAAATATCACCCTCTTGACATCAAGTATTTTTTCAGATTATTTCAAAACTTTCAAATGTGGTTTTCATAAAGTTTTTTTTGAATTTTGGTTTCTGTATGATATTCTTCCCTCTTTGGCGCCCAAAGGAGAGAACAGATTGAAACACTCACCGCAAAGAACTGGGAACGTTTGGTTTGCTAGCTCACCTAGCTTAGCTGGGCTAGCTTTTCCTAGCCGGCCGTGGCCAGAGACGTCAAAAGCAAGCCTGGTTGTTTGGATGAGTAGCAATTAAAGCGTTAACTACCCACGATTTGTGTTCTTGCCTGTGCGGAAGAGCCAAATTGGCTCGCCTCCATCGGCAAGCTTTTCTTGGCAGTTGCGGACTAGGTTGTCCTCAAAAGCTAGTTTTATTTTGCTAACCAAATAGCTATCCTTGCCTAGCAAGGCTAGGGGCTGCCCTTGCCTAAGATCCAAACGTAAGTTGCTCCTCTCTAATGCTTGCCTCCTTTCGCCTAGCAAGCACCCACTGCTTGTGCTCGTTTACGCAAATCTTACAACTCTCTATACGGTCGATGCCTTGCCATCGAACACTCTGGTGTTCCTTTTTAGCCAAAGCTTGCAGAACCCCACAATTAAGTTCGAAACCAGTTCTCTCATCGTAGCACAAGGGAACTTGTTGCCCATCGAGCACCACCATTCTCTCGCATTGATGTTCATATTTGGAGTTATGCTCCCAAGTCTGAAGCCACGGAGGAAGAGACCGTCTGTCAAACGGGCATTGCACCATCAGATGGTTGATGGTCTCCGAGGCAAGATCGTAGAGCAAGCATGCTGCGTGTTGCATGCCACTTCACGAGAGCTGATTTGCCATCCAACATCAATCTCTCATCAGTCATCACATGCTATGTGAAGAAACATTCCTTTGGAGGAACCTCATTCTTCCAAAGAGCACTGTGTGACGACCGATCGATGAAATCGTCGCCACAGGAAGGGGATCGGAGTGGGGGATGAGGAAGAACAGAGAGTAGGTGAGGTCGGAGAAGGAGATGAGAATAATTCAGACTTTTCCTTCGCTGCCTTGTCCAACAGAGGACGGTTCCATAAGTACAGGCACACACACACGACGGACGGCTTGGCCACATGCGGCCCAAGCCAGACCCAGTGGGCTCAGCCCACAACTCTCCTGTGCTACTCCTTCTCCTTGCTAGTCCACCGCTACATCGTAGCAGGTGTGACAATTTCCCCCCCTTGAGCGAGAGCGTCTTGAGCCCAGCATGGAGCGTTGGGGTAGCGATGACGTAGGACGGTGTAGTCTTCCCATGTTGCCGAATCTGGAGAGAGCGAGGACCACTGAATAGAGACCTGCACGACTGAGGTGTTACCTTTCTTGACTATGCGGCGATCCAGTATCAACTCGGGTTGTAGTGGTGCAGCAGTCAGGTCGGGCGGACGAGGCAATTCGGAGAAGACCGAAGAGTAGTCAGGTGTGAATGGCTTCAACTGTGATACATGGAAGACCGGATGAATGTGGCTGTTTGATGGTAACTGCAGTTTGTAAGCCATAGAACCGATCCGTTGCTCGACGGTGAATGGTCCAAAGAACTTGAATGCTAATTTGGGGCAGGGACGGTTGGCCACAGTAGATTGAGCATAAGCTTGCAGCTTCAGAAGAACTTGTTCACCCACTTGGAAAGAGCGATCTGTCCTGTGGCGATCAGCCTTTTGCTTGTATCTGTTTTGAGCCCGGGCCAGCTGAACACGGAGTTGTTCATTATGTGTAGCCCAATCCAAATCTGCATCAGTATCCTGTGGTATCGTGCGGGCCAGTGTGGGCAGTCCTCCCAAGTTGGGCTCCTGGCCATATAGCGCTTGGAAGGGTGAAGTGTTCAGCGAGGAGTGATGGGTGGTATTGTACCAGAACTCTGCAGTAGGTAACCATTGTCGCCATTTCTTTGGCTGGTCGTGTACGGCGCACCGAAGATACATCTCGAGACATTGATTGACTCGCTCACTCTGACCATCCGTTTGCGGGTGATATGCTGTGGAATAGCTGAGTTTTGTTCCTGCTGCCTCCAGAAGAGCACGCCACATTGCACTGGTGAAAACCGGGTCGCGATCCGATACGATCGAGTGGGGTACTCCATGCAACTTGATAATGTTATCCCAAAATGCTCGAGCCACTGTTGTTGCTGTGAATGGATGGCGAAGAGGAACAAAGTGGGCATATTTGGTGAAGCGGTCGACCACCACCATAATCACCTCGTAGCCCTCGGACACTGGCAATCCTTCGACGAAATCCATAGTGAGGTCCCACCACGGTTCTGATGGAATTGGGAGTGGCTGTAGTAGTCCAGGTGTTTTCAGATGTTCATGCTTGGCCTGCTGACAGATAGAACACTGACGAACATAGTCTTCCACTGCTTGTTTCAGACCCCGCCAAGCGAACAGTTTCTTGACACGTTGATAAGTTGCTGTCACTCTCGAATGTCCCCCAACTGCACTTGCATGGAATGCGTTGATCAATTTGGTCTGTAGGGCTGTGTTGGCGCCAATCCAGATCCTGTTCTGGAAGCGAATGGTGCCTTGGCATAATTCGTAACCTTGATCATCCGGGCTGCACAGAGCGAGTTGTTGCAGCAAATCTTGACTGTCCGTGTCAGTTTCATAGGAGTTGCTTACTTCCTGGAGCCATTGGGGCTGACAGATGGAGAGGGCATCCAGAGAGAGCAGGTGACCGACGCGGGATAGTGCATCAGCTGCGGCATTGTCCGTGCCGCGGCGGTACTTGAAAGAAAATTGGAGACCCACCATCTTAGACATGGCCTTGCGCTGCAACTCTGTTTCCAATTGTTGATCGCCGAGATGGCAGAGGCTTTTATGATCCGTGACAATGACGAACGGGGCGCGCTGGAGGTAAGTGCGCCACTTGTCCACGGCCATGATCACCGCGAGGAACTCCTTCTCGTAGATCGACAGACGCTGATTGCGTATGCCCAGAGCCTTGCTGAGGTAGGCGATTGGGTGGCCGTCTTGCACCAGGACTGCGCCCACCCCTGTGTCACACGCGTCCGTCTTGATAGAGAACGGGCGTGAGAAATCAGGCAATGCCAGGACAGGCGTGCTTGCCATGGCATCCTTGAGCAGATCGAACGCTGCTTGTGCTTGTGCCGACCAGGCGAAGCCTTTCTTGGTGAGGAGCTGAGTGAGGGGCTTGGCGATAATCCCATAACGTGGCACGAATTTGCGGTAATAGCCGGTGAGGCCCAGAAACCCGCGCAATTCTGTGCCATTTGTCGGTGTGGGCCATGCGCGCATGGCACTGGTCTTGCTCGCATCCGTGGCCACACCCTCTTTGGAGATTACATGGCCTAAATACCTCGACTTGGGGTTGCGCGAACGAACACTTGGAAAGCTTG